GAACGTCTCAGGTTACTTATGTAACCATGGTTCCCTGAGTAGGGAACGAGACACTGTGTCCTCTAGGTTTCTTGCCATGCTGCGGATGCAAGCTTCAGACGAAGAAGTGAATGATGTGTGCTCCCGGCGCCTATTTATACTATAGTCGCACCGGTAGTGACGTCATGGCTGTCGCCGGCCAACGAGTTGGTGTTTTTTCAATGTATGCTTCAGACACGGGTCACGACGAGGCGTTCCCCCATAGCGACCCCTAGAGGACGCAGTGTCTCGTTCCCTACTCAGGGAACCATGGTTACATAAGTAACCTGAGACGTTCAACCTTAATTTTAAGAAGCTACAAGAATCATTTTTGTGCACATAGAAAACAAAAATAATGACTTTATTCAATAATTTCTTCTCTTCCATGTCAGTTTTCGATGCGCATTCATGAGAGTACCACAACGCATGCTGCTGACAAAGGAGCCAGCGTTCTGATGTAGAACGTCCATCTCTCTTAGTTTATCGTCTGTATATTCTGGTTTGAATAAGTAAAGCTGGGCAAAAATTGCAAGTCATCCTCTCTGTTGAAATCTTGCCTCAGCAGCATCACACGCATGCGTCGTGGTACTCTCATAAACGTGCGTCGAAAACTGACACAAAAGAGAAAAAGTTGCTGAACAGTTGTTGAAAAGTCTTTTTTTTTTCTTTGCGCACAAAAAGTATTCTCGTAGCTTGGTAAAGTTAAGGATGAACCATTGTTGTCACATGGACTATTTTAACAATGTCCAAAGATAAACGAAGGTCTTATGGGTTTGGAACAACATGAGGGTGAGTAATTAATGACAGAATTTTCATCTTTGGGTGAACTAACCCTTTAACACATTTTATATAAGAGAGTTGTTGAGCCAATATGACACTGTACACTTACATTTCCTCCACCAGGAACATGCTTGATATTGTCCTTGGAGCCACATCGGGAGGTGACATGACTGAAGTCCAGCTTTTTGTGGACTATCTGAACCTAAACACCGCACAACAGCACAAAGGAAACATTGTCAAAGGTTATTCTACAGTTACACATGCAAAACAGACAGAAACAAACGCTATGAAGTCTATGAGTCTGTTAAACAATGTACTACTGTAAATTAAAAGTAAAGAGTAGCACGATGCCACTGAAGATGTCAAGTAGTGTTGAATGATCAAGCTACTCATTTATTTGCAGCAAACAGTTATTTTCGCTCTTGTGTTTGAAGAAGCAAGTTGATTCCTGAACATTTTATGTGGCAGCCATATTAGATTCAAACGTTCATTGTCTGTTGTGCTGTTTGGCGCAGGATTTATTTGTGTGACTCACATATTTGTTTGGACAGAGTACCAGCAGGCCAGGAACACTCTGTCTGACTCAGAGTGTGTTTTTCACAGCCTAAAGCTCACTTTATTGCCTTAATCTCAGGTAATGCTTAAACACTCGAGGGGCTACAGTCTAACTGTTTCATTTGACCTGCAGTGACAGACCACTCCAGGAAAAGCAAATGTAATTTGGAGATAACTGCAATACTGCATAGTTTGAAGGCCGTGCCGAAAACTGATGAATTTCCTGAAAACAAAAACATGACCATGATGATTCTTTGAGCAGCAAAGAAACACCAGTAGCACTAAAGTCTACTTAGTTATTGACATGCAAGGCACTGTTAAAGGGGTCATATGATGCGATTTAAATTTTTCCTTTCTCTTTGGAGTATTACAAGCTCTTGGTGCATAAAAAAGATCTGTAAAGTTGCAAAGACTAAATTCTCAAATCCAAAGAGATATTCTTTATAAAAGTTAAGAGTCAGCCACGCCTACCTAAAACTGCTCGTTCTAACACGCCCCAACATATCTACGTCACGATGTGGGAAGATTTGCATAACACCGCCCAAATGTTCACGCAAAGAAAGAAGGCGTAACTTTTATTCTCGCTGTAGTATTGTTGCCGCTGCCGCCATGTCGTGAAGGCGCTGTGTGATTCGTTGTGAAAGCGAAACTACTGCTCCGGCCTGACAGGGCATCATCACAGTATGGTAGGAACGTAACATTTCCGTCACACGCTTGAGGTATTCGGCCAATCACGATGCACTAGATAGCTGGCCAATCAGAGCACACCGTACTTGTAAGAACTATGAGCTTTGAAAAAATCGGCGCGTTTCAGAAAGGCGGGGCATAGAGGAGCAACAATAGTGTACAGTATGTGGAAAATAATGTGTTTTTTGAACCTTAAACCGCATAAACACATTTCATTACACCCAAAACACAAAATAATGTTCTTTTTAGCAACATCATATGACCCCTTTAAACAATATCCATGGAACTGCATACATAATAGATAACAGATATATAGAGGCACAATTCCTCACACAGCTGACTTTGTGAAACAGCAGGAGGCTGTAGGTGATCTTGGGAGTGAAAACACAGCAATTTAAAATGCAATGAAAACAGTTTTTAACCATATGCCAATAACAGATGTTATGCAAGACAATATAATAGAGGTTCTCAACCTTTTGACTCAAAGTCAATATTGTCTAATACAATATTCAAAGGCTCATATTCTGTATAATAACTATAATACATTATTACCGATATTAGTATTGATACAGGTAAATAAATGAATTAACCACAGAAATACAATTCCAGTTAAAATCTTGAGTTTATATTTATTATTTTATAAATACTTTTTACAAATTTTAAATCTTCCTGATGCCCCCTTTGGAAGTTTTCTGAGGCCCTCTGGTTGAGAACCACTGATAATATAATATAATATAATATAATATAATATAATTAATAATAATATAATATAATATAATCTTTATTATATAATATGTCTTTATTATGTATAAGAATATTTTGAAAATAAATAGTTTCGTTTTTCATTTCATGCTATATTAAGTTCCCCAAGAATAGCCACAGTCTCTCTCCTGTGTGGAAAGCTGCAAGAAAGGTGATATATATAGCACATATTATATGCGCAGTGGGAAAGCATTTTTTTTCCTTAAAAGCAAAAGCAAAAGTGCAAGTATGACAATCCATTGTAAGGTAAGAAATTAATTGCACTATAGAGTGTTGATACTATTGCTGAGTCTGTACAACATGCAGTTATGCTATTTTTAGATGGACGTGGTTAGTGCAGAAAACACTAACAAAAACACTATGACAATTATCTGGTAACAATGGTAAACCAGACTCTACAAATATTTCACGAAGAGTGGCACAATGATCATGGGTGAACTACACTCTTAAAAATAAAGGTGCTTCACGATGCCATAAGAAAGAAATGGTTCTTTAAAGAACCTTTGACTGAATGGTTCTTTGTGGAACCAAAAATGGTTCTTCTATGGCATCGCTTGAAGAACCTTTTGAAGCACCTTTATTTTTAAGAGTGTACCGAGAGACAGAACTGTGTGGTGTTAAATCCACAGAAGACATACACAGACCAGGCTGCATTGCTCTAAAAACATTCTCTAACACATGTATGTGGACATGTTTATATACAACAACAACGTGCCTGCATGTTTCCTTATAATTCAGAAAACCACTGTAACCTAATTTTAGTACACAAAGTTTTGTGAGTCTGGGTACACTTGTAAAAATTAGGGTTGCATAAGCAAGTTTCTACAAGATCGGATGATCTTTGGAAAGAAAGCGAGAGTAAGAGCAGGAGAGAGAGTGATATTGAGGCAGTGAGTCAGGGAGATGTCATTGGGAGGGACTCACTTTGCCCTGGCTGGTCTTTGGCAGAGCATCGGTCTTGACCTGGGCTGCAGAGACCTGAGGAGACAAGCACCCCTTTAGTCAGTGCAGTGCAGGGAGGAGGTACAGAAAGCCAAGGGTCGAAGGTCTCAGAGAAGGAAGTATAGGATGTACCACAATAAGTGATTCAGTATGCTAAGGTTACTTTGGAATTTGAAAGAATGAGCTGACGGTTTGTGTGTCATCAGTTGCACAGGGGGAAATAGTGTATTTAACGGTCTGTTCTATTAAATACAAAGCCAATTGAAACTTAAGGGATAGCTCACAACAATGAAATTTCTGTCATCATTTACTCACTCTGTCATTCCAAACCGGTACAACTTTCTTTTTATAATATGGAACAGAAAAGTATATTTTAAAAAGTGTTTTAGTGTGTTTTTTATCCATACAATAAAAGTCACAGCAATTTATGGAACAGAAAAGTATATTTTAAAAAGTGTTTTAGTGTGTTTTTTATCCATACAATAAAAGTCACAGCAATTTATGGAACAGAAAAGTATATTTTAAAAAGTGTTTTAGTGTGTTTTTTATCCATACAATAAAAGTCACAGCAATTTATGGAACAGAAAAGTATATTTTAAAAAGTGTTTTAGTGTGTTTTTTTATCCATACAATAACATAATGTACTGGCAAAAACATTACTCAAAATATTTATTTATTTTATTTTTGTGTTGCACAGAGGACAGAAAGTCACACAGGTTTAGAACAATAATATGATGAGTAAATGATGGCAAATTTCTCAGTTTTGAGTGAACTATTCATTTAAATATTACAGAGCAAACTGTATATTATTGTATTGTATAACTGTATATATTATTATTAGAGCAAACATCCTTCATGGAGGGTTTCATAAAAAGACATTTTAATTTAAATGATGCATTGTGGCCTTTAGTTGACAGTCACCATCTGTATTACAGATGGTGTAAATATGGAAACAGCCAGTCCTAATGCATTGGGTTCTCTAGATCTTCCCTGAAAAGTGAAAACCCTTCGGGGAATCCTGTTACACAAGGTCTTTTTCATTTCAAAGAGATGGGGAAGGATAGGTGGCTGGGAGATGGCTATGGAAGACAGACAAATCAATTCTACAGATTCAGTAATAAAAAGTGGGAGCTTTGTATTCCACTGGCAGGTGGATGTCAATCAAAGAACACTGTTGAAAGCCGTGCATCCATGAGCTCAGTCAAAACTGACAGTATCTAAAAGTTCAGGATCAATCAAATTAATAATGGCATTTACATCGACCAGCAGTGACATGAGATGTACGAATGAGAAGCAACTATAACAAATACTATAACATTTCATGTGTTTAATAGCAGCAATAGTGCAGAACATGAGCTTATGATCATATGTTGCCAAATAATGCATCAAATTAAATCTATGTTTGTAAAGAAATGAGGTTGAGTGCAGTATCTGTGTGTGTCTCTAAATTCCATATTATTTAATTTCTTGCGCACATGCAAATTCTTCTGGTTTTCTTTTGACCAGTCAACTCACCTTGCCTCCTCCAGGCTGGTACTTCATGTTATCGGTGGAACCGATCTTGGAGCGCACGTTTTTTAGATCTGGCAGTGGTGCCTTGGTGAGCCTGACATTTCGGGGGGCTCGAGGTACAGGAGGCTTCTTCTCTAGGGGAGTCTGCTTGGGTACGGGGGGTTTGGTGATGCGGGAGGGACGAGGGGTCCCATTGGTGGCTGCTGTGCTGGTGGCAGAAGGTGGTGTGCGAGTTGTTCTTGGAGTTGTTTTAACTGCAAAACAAAATGCAAGTCACTGTAGCAGCAAACAGCACAATCCAGGAGGCTTAATACAGTATGCATGAAAGGTCACAGACAGATAAATCTTGTTATCATTGACCTCATGAATGTTTCTTCTCCCTAAGCCACCAGAAAAGCGCCAAGCTCTCATCTAAGTGACAATGTTTTCGGCTGTTGTGTACACAGAGATGTAGAGAGGAGTTGAAGGTTCTATCAGTGTGATGTTTTCAGATAGGCCTCTGTGAGTAAGTCTATCCCTGACTATGTCAGCAGCTTCAGATTTGATGACTAACAAATGCACTAGTCAGTGTGTCTTAGCTCAGAACTGCTGTGTTTTCAGGAAACAGTAGAGGTAAACTTCTCACCCTGCTCTTAAAGCCTCCATTAAATCAGCATTTAGTAACAGCTACAGACAAGTAAGCACCTTTATTTGCACATAAGCACCTCCGCTGACCGCTGGAAAGAAGATCTCTCCACTCTTAAATCTGTTAGACTGTTGGTTTATTTAACCAGAATGTATTTAATTTCATGTAATGGGTGTTATTCAAGTCTCTGCTAATTGAAATGTTTGTCTTAATATTTGGATGACTTGTTTGTGGTATATTGGAACACACAGTTTACACACTTTATATTATATCCAGTCACATAGCCTTAAATTATATAATGATTCATATATTGCACATAAAAATGGTGAGAACTTTTGAAATTCACAAGTTCCAATATTCCTGTCTGTCATAAAGAAACTTCTGAAAATTATAATGCATAGGAATTTATTAGTCTACTGGGAAATAAAGTTTTGTTTACAATGTACCACAATGCTACCATAAGCGGGGAAACAAGTAGTCACAGTCTAGTGCAAGTGCAACTGAAGCTAACAAGACTCTTAACTCATATTTTCAGCAATTAAACCAAAGCAAAATCTTATATAATATTATACTGTATGTAAATACCATTACCAGGAGGTATAGTAAATTTAATATACTATGTGTAATTTGTAACTATGTCTATTTCTAACTGTATGTAAAATATTTCTCTGGATAAGAAAATTTATTAATTTTCACCTGGTGTTGTCTTTGCACTTGTCTTTTTCACCTCTCCTGCTTGGTTTTCAGTCTTTGTAGCTGTAAAAACACAGAATCAAATTAAATTATGTAAATTTAAACGTCATCACATGATTATCCTGACTTTAAATCACTGAATGCATAACCTGAGCTCCTACAAACCTTAGTGCAATGAAAAGAATCAAAATGAAGATGTGAAGGACAGAAGTGCATAGCACTGTTGGATTGTACTGTTGTTTAGCAACTTGCCAATTGTTTGACTCATGAAACACCTTTACAAAATCTTTCAATAAACAAAAATGATTTATGATCGGGGACCTTTATACTACGCATACAATTATAAAGACTGTAAGTCTATGATTTGTTTTTCATCAATATAAAATGTAATTAATCTACCCTGACTGAGTTCTGTATGGTGGAACAGCTCACCAGAGGAGCGTTGGGCAGAGGTGGTAGTTGGGGTGCTAGTAGTGCCGCTTTTAGAATTCGTAGCCGATGCAGCTTTAGCCTTTGGCAGTGGAGGGCGACGCTGAGTTGCGGTCTCATTAGACTGAAGAAAACAGTAAGACATCAGAATGCTGAACAACCATGAATGAAAATTAGTTGAAGTCAGGAGGTTGATTAGATGAGTTACATACATAAGGGTGGTGTAATGTTTGAGGGTGATTGTTCAATTTAGGCAGAGTTTGACTAACAAATCTTGAAATGACATGACCCAGATGAACGATCTGATATTGGCCTTGATCAACTTTAAAGTGGATTGTGGTATATTGGGTATTGGTGTGGATCTTTGATATTGTCTGTGTTTGTAATGACCTTTTCTGTTTATTTGTTTATTTTTTGTAGAGAGCAAACCTTGAATTTTCTAATGCAGCATGTTACCTAGCAGTCAATGAACTAAAATAAATTATTTGTCCCAAATTAAAATGTAAAGCATATTATAATATACTACTATAATCTACTAGATTTTCTCTTTATAATAATAATAATACAAATCTCCCTTAACTAATGGACAAAAATTTCCCCTAAATGAAAAATCACCCATATAGAAAATGAGCAGAGAAGAGATGACACTAGATAAAAAGGTGAGAATGAATTATAAATTCATAATCTACAAGCACCATGCATGAAAGTTGGAGAAAAAGTCATTTACAACCTGATCTGAAGAGAGCGGCATATAATTAGCCCTGTCAAATTAATTGATATCTGTACTTGCGAAATATTTAAGAGGCAAAACAAAACTGCACCTTATATTTTATTCAGTAGCCTAAAAACATGCCTCTCTCTTGAGATTTTGCTGGAGATAGAACATCGTGAGTTGACAATGACACAGAGGGCAAGCCATGGGCTGATTTTAAGGGAAGAGAGATGGGCATCAGAGAAAGTCGCAAATGTTTCCCCCTGTGGATTGTAGGCCGGGTGCCAAACCACAGATGAGGGAAATGGCATTAACTCACCTTGGCCTTAGTCTCAAGAGTAGATGTGGTGGTGGGGTTTTTCTTGGTTCCAGCAGTGGGGGTTGTTGCCTTGGGCACAGGGCTTTTTTTATTGGCAGAGTTGGTGGTGGGAGAGGTGCGTTTGGTGGCACCTGCACTGTCTCCAGTGGACAGCGAGTTTGGTCTTGCTGAGCTTTGTTTGGTTGACCCAACTGAAGGCTATATGCATGTATTTGCAAAAAGCACAAAAGAAAAACTAGATGCAAACATGGGAGCATGATAAAATCAAGGTAGCAGCAATGGCTGTACAAATTGTTCATAAATCATAAAATGTGAGTTTGGGTAACTGATCTTTATTCTTTATAAAGATGGGAAAATGAGAGCAAACACCTCTTTTTCTCAAATGTGGCAGTTTAAATAATAATAAAAAACATATCAAATGAATGAAGTCCCTTTGTTTTTCAGACTTACCTTGGCCTTACTATCTGGGCTGGTCACCTCCTTGCTCCCATTAGATGTTGGAGACTTAGCAGGTCCTTTAGCAGCCTTCGCATTCTTCTCAGCTTTGGCTGTCTTGTCCACTTTTTCTCCATCGTCTTTCTCCTTGTTTGTCTTTTCAGGTTTGTCTACTTTCTCAACCTTCTCAGCTTTATTTTCCTGTTTTTCCTCTTTCTCAACCTTCTTCTCATCCTTGATGATTTGCTCACTCTTCTGAGTCTTATCCACACTGTCTGGTTTCTTTGTGATCTCATCTTTCTTGTCCAGGTGATCAATCTTCTCAATTTTCTCAGGCTTGTCTTGCTTCTCAATTATGTTGATGTTTTCCATCTTCGGAGCAGTTTCCACCTTCTCCATTTTCTCTTTGGCTGTCTTGTCTTCTTTTACTTTGAAAAGACAAAGTTGACATTCTCATGTTTAATCAAGCAAATGTGGATCTACAATTATTATCTTTATCTTTATAATTGTCATAATGATCAATGTAAGTTTGTTCACACAAGGCTTTTGGTTGTAGCTTGCTGTAATATCCAAGATATTTTGGAGACACAAATTAGCAGCAAGTTACACTTTATGCCTCAGTCTCAGTACATTCTGACAATAAGAATTAAAGTAGAAAAGCATGAGAGGCCATGGAAAGGGGCACAGAAAGTGACAGTGCCTTGAGCGGACAGACAGAAAAGAACATTGTCAGTCTGGATGCCTTATGTAACTTGGCACCATTCACCCCACAAAGTGAAAAATCAATGGCCAACGGAAGACCAAAACACCAAAAACCGTGTGTGAGAGAGAGAGACAGAAAAAACAACAAAGAAAAAAGAAAGGACAGAAAGAAAGAGCACACTGTTCCTGAGACAGGATGATAAATACTCATTGAAAGTTGTGACAGGCCAACATAATGTCAAAAGCATCCAGTTTATTATCATTCGATTTTTTTATTTTGGCAGTACTTTGGTAAAGTATATTTTTACTATATTTTTAATACCTTTTTAATAACATTATCGAGGAATAAAATGCTTTTAATGCTTGAAACATCATTAGTTAGAAAGTTATAAATATGTTAACAGTTAGAAATGTCTAGAACATTTAGTATGTTTTCAATTTATCTTCTCCACGGACCCCCTAGGGTACCTTCAGAGACCCTGGATGAAAACCATAACTCTTCCTCTGAAGCTCTTCGCACAGTTACAGATGGATAAATGGATGGTAATATTACAAAGTGTATACGTGTGAAACGTGGGCTCATCTCAGTACAGCAAAAGCAAATTATGACAAAAGGACATCCAAAGGTTACTCTGTTGATATTTTTGTGTATCCCTGCAGGCGGCCAGTGGCACACACAGCAAATCGTATCCATCTTTCTGTCAATCTCATAACCGTATCTATAACCTCTGCATCTGGCAATCTGTCTTCATCAGGTGTGTTAATACACAGATATGCACATACACAATAAAAACAGCACACTATCTGCTGGAGCATTTGAGGAAACTGTTCTAACAGTAAAACCTCTTTCAATAAACAAATCTTGAAAAGTGTTTTAAAATGTAGAAAATGCATACATGACAAGATATCAGCAGAATAAATCCACATCTACGCTAAATAACAACCCTAAACCTTTCTCTTTTTATTTCACTCTATTAGCTGTGCTCAATATAAGTTGCAAACGACAACCATCTATAACAGACCGTCTTTGAGAGAAGGTTTGCCAAAAAAACAAAATACACTACCATTCAAATGTTTGGGGTCAGTAAGATTTAAAAAAAATGATAACACATTTATTCAGAAAGGACACATTAAAATGATAAAAAATGACAGTAAAGACTTTAACATTGTTACAAATGATTTCTATTTCAAATAAATGTTGTTCTTTTGAGCTGTATATTCATCAAAGCATCCTGAAAAAATTTACCATTTTCACAAAAAAAGTATTAAGCCATTTTGATAATAAAGAAATGTTTCTTGAGAACCAGTTTAGCATATTAGAATGATTTTTGAAGGATCATGTGACACTGATGACTGGATTAATGGCTTTGCCATCAAAGCAATTCATTACATTTTAAAATAGATTCAAATATAAAAATATTATTTTAAATTGTAATAATATTCACAATATTACTATTTAATATTATTCAAAATTAAAAAAATATATATCTCAGGACCCCAAACTTTTGAATGGTAGTGTATGTTCAGCTCTGTCACACAGATAAATTGAATTACATCTGTTGATGCAAAGACACAAGTACAGAAGTAATCCAGGAACCAGAGATCTAGAGATCCAACAGATCCCAATCCTGCATTGGCACACCACGGAGATCACAGCAGCTGATCTCACCTACCATTACAGACACCTTTAGGCTGAATGTCAGGGGATGAAACAGCATTTCCACTTCCCGATGGCTGTGGCGGCAACTGTATCCTTTCAGAACTCTGTGGCACACCAGCAGGCTGTTCTTTCTTTGCAGTAGGGGCTGATGGGATACTCATGGATGGCAGAAGACTCTGTTTGTCCTCCACGGTAAAGTATTTGATGGCGGTCTGGGGTGGCGGCACATCCTTGCCTGGATATTTATCAGGCAGCTGAAGGCTAGCAGGCACTGTCAGGTGGGTACTGTCTGACATCGTGCGCTGGACCATTCGCTTTTGTTGCACGGGGGGTGACATGGGTGGGCGTGTTTCCGTTTTTCCCTCAACTTCGCCCTCCACATAGCTGTCATTCACCACGCCGATCACACAATAATTCAGCGCAAGGCCTGTTTTCGAGATGCTGGGGGTTGGATCCCAATCGCTGTCTGAGGATGTCAAGACGCCACTCCTCGGTGAAGGTCCTGATGTCACCCTATTGGTGGAAAGGTCTTTCCCTGGAGACAGAGGTGATGGAGAGGATGAGACGCTTGTGGGACTTTCTGCTGCACTGCCCAAATTCTTCCTACCCCTGCTGCTCTGGTGACTGGTTACCCGTTGGTCCACCTCCTGGCTGAGTGCTGCCGACTTGGTGGAAAGGTCCTGCTTGTCGTCCTCTAACAGTCTGGAGGATTGCAGACCGCCTGGCTGCCCCTGCTGCCAGTTCCAGCCCTGGGCAGCTGTTGACGATGCCAAGCCTGGCATGGAGGGTGGCACTGAGCACAGATCTCTGCACTCTGAGCGCTGGGATGACATCCTTACAGTCCTTGTCTCTCTAGATATATTTGTTCTGTATCAAGGTGTCTATCCGTCAGTAAACAGCATTGATTTAGGTGAGTAAGTCTACTGTAAGTCTACAGCGCTGGTCTCTAAACCTCCCTCAACGCCGAGGCTGAGATGACTCTGCGTCTCTCTCCCAAATCCCCCTCCTCTCTCTCGTTCTCTCTCACCCTAATTCTGTCCGCACATTCCTTCCAAGTCTTCGATCATGTGATCACACGAGCCGCGTCCTTATTGGATGCTCCACACTGAAAACCCTTGCTTTTAGCATCCAGCGTGTTTATAAATACCCCTTTCTCTCTCTCACTCACACATTGTCTCATTTGGTTCTCAGAATGTTCTAGCAGACGCAAGCATGCACCTTTACCATTAGCGGAGGATGTCATCATTGCCTGGTCCTCAGGTGCTGTGTCACTCACTCAACACAATAACATCAGTATCAATCACATTTAGAGCAATCAGCTGAACCATTATATTCCTTCGTCTCTCACGTACGAGGTTGATGGAAGTGTGACCTCTTTTGTGTACTGTGCCTCTTATACTGTGCCTGAGTTCTTATGAGAGTGTATTAAAGGTGCAGTTCAGCCAAAAATTAGAAGTCTATCATCATTTACTCACCCTTGTGTTTTAGTAAACCTGTTGGACTTTCTTTCTCGTGTGGAAAAAAAGAAGATATTCTGATGCTCCAACTGTCCCATTTAATGAACGTCTTTATAGTACAAAACTACGTTGGATGCCACTGACTTTCTTTGTAAGGACAAAAATATACAAATTCTTCAGAATATCTTATTTTGTGTTCCACATCAGAAAGAAGTCATTCAATTTTGGAATGTCAGGATTTGACCAGGAATTCAAGCATGTCAAAACAGCGAGGATCCAGAATGCATGCACAAACCAGTAAATGCAATCATATTTCCTGCCTAAATGTGACTGTGCCAATGCCTTAGTTGATGTTTTTATGCAGTGGTTTTTAAATGTTGGTTGGTGACCCAAAATTGGTCTGTTCTAATAGGATTGCGTACAGCAGAGAAAAACAATTGTAAATGCAAATAATTTAATGGAACTACATCCACTCCATCAAAAACAAAAAAGAGGAGAAAACACTATTTTTGTTCATGATTTCAAAAGGTGTGTATCCAATCACACTTCAAAGTATTTACCAGTCAAGCCAGTAAAACTAGACCAATGCCAATGTAGACAGGTAGCAGACATGTCCTCATCCTTAAACACTATGAACAACACAAGGCAAAAGAAAATGCGACCCAGAATACCCATATGTTGCGATGGATAAACATGTTTTGTGCAGATCACAATGTGTTTGTGGCTCTTGAGGGCAAAAAAAAAATATTTTCTTACACTCAAACAGATAAATCAGATGTCAGACTCTAGCCCTTCAAAAAATAAAAATCCTTTCCTTCCAGCCATTAGACACATCAGTCCCATTCCAGTTCAGTCATGTCCTCTCACTGTCTTCTGTCTTTGAGAAATGAAGTTTTTATGGTGACACACACACCTGATATCATGCAAGACAATTATTCATGAAAAAAAGGGGTGGAAAAATCATTAAACATGTTGAGTGACATAAATCACTTCCACAGTCGGTCACAACAGCAGGGTTCTGCATTATTCAGCACTTTAGAGTATGTATCTGCACAGAAATAGCACATATATTTAAACCTCTATATTAGGTAACCTACTAGACCAGTTAATTACAGGCATCCTAACATGAAATATGTGAGCAGTAAAAACCATGGTTTTAAAATTATATCAGGGGCACCACAAAACCTGTATTACATATTACTTTTCTGGCTCCCACTGCATACGCCCTTCCAGACTTGAGCAGAGGCATGTGATGTCGTAATTCATGTGTAGTCTGATTGGCTCAGGCACCTTAATTAGAGTGAACTTCACACACACACAAAGTACAATGCATCAGCTGCAGTGGCCTTCCAGGCCAGTGACAGATATAAAAGAAGTCTTTTCTCTCTGACTGTCTCATTGCTGTAATGGGCCAGGATCTTGTGAATGGGTTTTGTTGCATAAGGACATGTCAGATGAATTTTACTGTTTACATTCCTCTAAGAACACATTGCATCGCATCCTTTAGCTCAATATACAGAGGATATTGAAACTTCCTATCACTTCATTGCATCTCTTAGTGCATTTTCGTCTTAGTTAGTTTCAACTCCACAAATAAAATTTTGGTTAC